TTTGTGTACTTACAGTCAACTCTTTTAAAGCTGCAGGATGCTCTCCAAGTAAACTGAAAGCTAGTGCCAGTATTGATGAAATAGGCTCAAAGCTAGCCAACAAGACCCCAAATACGGCATAAACAACAGATTCCTCTGAAAACAACTTCTCTTTGCTGATTTGATCAAGGAAATCTCCTTGATGTGTGTCTGGTGACATGCGTCTCTTCTCTAGCATATCCCTCAGCGCTGTTATTATCTTATCGCGGTCCTGAATAGGTACCAAAGCTTTAAATATCTTGTGGTTTCTGATTGAATAATTGAAACAAATTTTGCATGTTTTGATAAACAAACCATTTTGAATACTACCTGTAAACCATTATGGTATGCTGTACCAGGAACATTCACGGGAAATGACAAAAAACTGTTCATGATTCTAGAAAATTTATCACCGAGGTTATCAGATGATGTTTCAGCATCATAACCAGTCATATGCTTGGCACTAAAATTGAAGAGCATCTGCGACGGCGAGAAAAGATAATTTTAGTATAAACAATAAGCGCAGTGGATCATAATAACTAATAGATAAGTGATTAAGTAGTTGGGTTGAAATTTTTACAACTGAGCTAGCATGTTTAACTTCAACAGATGCCTGACTTGACCAGGAGGCTAGAGTTTCGACGACTGTTTTTTCTATTAGAGGGAGCAACTTTTCCTTAAGCGTCTCAGCGCCGAAGTGATTCAATGTAATGCTCCTTAAGCACTTGTGAATGACAGTACCGGTTGTAGTTGCCTCGCCAGAAAGGTTGAGGATCTTGGTAAATGAGTCGAAGAACCCTAGTTCAACTAGCTTGCCTTCTTGTTGAAGTAGGTGACTATTGAATTCGGGATCGGTTGAGACTACAATTGGTCTACCAACCAAACTAGTCCGAAATATCGGGCCATATCTGCAAGGCAGAGAAGAATTTAAGCGAGAAATGAAACTAGAATTTGTTATGGTAAATTGAGTAGGCATAGTTTATTTACTTTGTAACTCTCCTCTTAACGAAAGGATGAAGATCAATGGAATTGCTCAGAGTCATCGCATTGAGAGTCTCTCCAACGAGAGGCCAGCCCATAGAACCCGGAGGGAGAACCCCATTGCATTTTGGATTTCTCCATTGTGTAATCCAGTGAGTAATGTATGTCACTAGCAAAACTACTAAACTCAATCCAACAGCAGCCCACATTTTCAGATCAGAGAAAGAATTGTAGTCTAGTTGGTTCACCTCCCTTCTCTTTATATATCATATATCTCACTGCAAAAGAGGCCATCACTGGAGACGGTGCTGTTGGTGTTAAATGTATTAAAGTCTCTGTGCGTGCCAAATCTACTTACCTAACCCTAAAAAGCTTGTATCTTGACGTTAAAATCTATCTAGTTGCAGTAAGTTTCTACTCTCTTTTTTTAGGTGGCAGCATTAATTTTATTTAGGGTCATTAAAACACAATATAGGTATTTTAAGTTAGGTTTCTAGAATTCCATATCTAGATAACTATTCTAGAGTTCCATATACGTGCATAAAAATTTTTAACCTTGCTCATCAATCCACAGGACCGCGGCGTATAAACGTAAATCACTCCACAGAGTCAACTCATCAACACTGATTTATTTTGTAAGTCTATTATAAGTTTGGTAGAACCTCATGTTTAGTTAGGTTATGGGAGGTGTAGCCTTCTTGCATTCTAGCTCAATATGAAATACTTTTTTTTATTTTTTAGAAAAGAAAATTCGGACAATTTTATTGCTCAATAAATACCATTATCATCGTTAATTAGGAGTTTCTAGTCACTAAATCGATGCTTGAAATTTGTCTACGTACAGTTAACTCCTGCAAATCTGAAGAATGCTTTGCTATAGTAAACTGAAAGCTAAAGCCAGTACTGGTGAAATAGACTGAAACGTAGCAAATAGGCCCCCAGATATCAGCGGCAGTGCAAAATCCTCCGTCAAGAACTTTTCGGTTGTATCATATCATAGGTACGAAATGTCCAGTTATTTCCCTTTATTTTTTATTTTTTATTTTATTAAGGAAACAGGATAACTCTCTCAATTTTTCTTCTTTGAAGGACGTATGTATGAGCCCTTTTTTCGCTTAAGGTTCATAATTTCTATTCTCACTAATCAGAAACAAAACAAGGAAAATAAGTTGTCTTCTCTATGGGTGACAGTATTGAAGTATTAGGAGGGCGCCGCCATTAGTTGGTGGTTGATTTTAGGTCCAAATGTATTAAAATTTCAGTGCATTCAAAATTCTATTTACGTAGGCACGCTAAATTTTTATTTTATTTTTTGGTCAAAGTTAGGAAGGGGAATGGAGGGGGGAAACTCGTACACATGGGTATTTCAGACTTGAATTCAGGACCACTTGGGAGCACACCAAATATTAGGCCAATCCAACTAATACCCCGCCAAAAAAATCTATTTTGGTGTATTGAAAATCATACTTAGATACCCTGTAATGGCTTAGTTCGGGGTATTTTGGAATCTAAAAAGTATAATAAATCAGATTTTATGCTTAATTAGGTAACTTGCTGAGTTGAATTCTAGTCATGAGTTTTTACTTATACAAATCGGGTATTATTTATAGGAACAAAAAGTAAAGAGTTGTAGGTACGACAAATTGAATTTAAAGGATGTAAACCAAATTTACTATAAAACGAATCATACTTAGGTACATTAAAACTTAGCAGAGGCATTCAAATTAAAATTCTATTTAATATGTAGGAAGACTCTAGCTGTTTATTTTAAATTGGTCCCCATTTTTTCAAGCAAACATAAGGCCCAAAATTTCTTCACATTAAGGATCACAAAAATTACATTAATGCCACATGTTCCCAACGCTGCTTGTTAAAATGAAATTATGATTTAGTCCGTTTCAAACTTTTAAGTGCCTGTTTGGCATTGCTTATTTGGATTAATAAGTGATTTTAAAAAAAATTAGGAAACCCAACCCGTTTGGTATACTATGATAAAATCACTTATTGTTAAAAATTGTTGTGGAAGAAAGCTATAAGGGCAAGCAGCTAATAAGGTTCTCGCATCGATGAAGAACGTAGCGAAATGCGATACTTGGTCTGAGTGGAAGAAAGCTATAAGGGCAAGCAGCTAATAAGGTGCTTTCATTTTTTGATTATGCATGAATCAGTTTCAAAGAGGCACTATATTTAATGATTATGCGGGAATTAGTACCAACAACACTTTTAACAAAAAATGTACCAAACACCAAACAGCTTTCTCTCATAGTTGATTTCTCTCACAGCAAATCTGACAGCAATTATTTTCACAACACAACAATGCCAAACTGGCCCTAAGATTGGGGTTCTTCAATTTTTCGAAAACTTTTTCTTTTTATTAACTAATTTTGTCAACACAATTTTTTTAAATTTAAAAAAAAAAAAAAACTTAAGAAGCCAACCTCTTCAAAAATAAAAACCTCAGATGCCAATATAGGTAATACACAAAGTAATGTGTATGGTTTTCATTTTTATTTTTTGATATAATCGATCGTCAGAATAGGAGCACAAGCGAATCTAAGTGTGGGTTGGAATGGGCTCTAGCCCAATGCTGAGTTTTTAGAATATACAACTTAGGCTAAGTAGTCCAAGCATAAACTAGGTTAATCAAATATTAGCCTACACCTCTATATAGACATAAGCTCACCCTTGTATAATCCCAGCTGTTAGATTGATTGGAATCCATGTGATGTAACTTTAGAACTCATGTGATGCATTTTTATAATAAAGATAAATACTTTTTAATATAATAAATGTTGTTGATATGTACTCCATATGGCCTCACAACCTCCCAAAGTACGGCCCCATGTGCTCCATAAATGTAATATAATGGATTGTTTATTATAAAGGTAAATGATAATTTCATTTTTGTCCTGCTCCATTTTGTCTTGTTGCAATTCATTGTTTTCTCATAAATTGTTTTTTTTTTTTTCATGAAAACCTTTAAATTATTTACTGGAGATTAAAGATACAATTATAAGCATGAGGTTTTGGTTGTTTTCTCTGTAATTCTTTTTATGCTATAATCTTTCTTCTGCTCAATCCATATTGTTATGATGGTATTAGAGCTCATCTCGATACTTCTATAATTTCTCATATCTTTCTTTCAATTTCTACTTTTTGAAGCTCTGTTCTGAATTTAGGCAAGAAGCCTTTACTAAATTTCTGAACTTTTCAATTTCTCTGAGATTCTTATATGATGATGGTTAACCATAACCACTAGAAAAAACATAACCACCATTATAATAGATATCACCAAAAAAAAAACAAAACCAAAAATTAGCCCACCCCTATAAAAATTCCTAGATCCACCATTGGGTAGGAGGATTTGAAAACTAAGACCTCGGAGTAAATGCTCTTCACTACTTGAGCTACACCCCCTTGCATGTGTATGTCTTTGTTGTTAATAACATGAAACACTCAATTTGATTATATATAGGTAGCACCTAAGTGTTCGATCAATTTAGGAGGAAAAAAAAAATTTCAACTCAGGTTTTCTTCTCCTCGAACTTTATGTGAATTCCATCCCCAAATCCTAAAATAGGGTTTAGAGCAATGCGTGCCGCTTTGATTGTTGTCCACCTATGAACAGAGATTCAATAGATGACTTGGCTGTTTTTTTTTTG